TTGCTTTGAATTCCTTCAGTGGACTGTAATTCAGGATATCCAAACCAAATAAACACCCTTTCCTCCCCAGGTTGCTTTTGGTCATGGTGTTTCATCACAGAAATAGCAATCCTAACTAAGGCAGGGACTTAAATAACTGCCAAGGTCATATGTTCACATAAGATAGAGCTGAGAGCTGTCTACCTCTGACTGATGCCCATTAAATTCCATTTGCTTTTGCAGAAATAAGTGATTTCTCTGTCTCCATTTATGGTAGATAACCGTTGACTTACTTTTACCATTTATTTTGCCATTAATAGTATTTGTGGATTTTATTAATAAGGTTCTCTTTGAGGCAATGAGATCCAGTAAGCTAATATAATTATTAGAAAATATCAAAGGTATCCTCACAATACTTGTTAGGTTTATATCTAATGCAAAATGTAATTCCTCTATCTTAAGGAAGGCTAAGAAACAGATTTATTTCTTTTTCCCAGATAGCAAGAAACATAGTTTGTGGGGAGTAAGAATAATATATCAGAAATGTGAATTTTTATTTGATTTTTCATTATGAATCCAGAGAAAAATATGAATTTGTATTTTTTTAAGTAGATAGTGTCTTCAACAATAGGGTTTTTCTGTCAAGTTTTGGTGAGTAACCAAGACAAATGGTAATAGCTTGTATTGTTTTGAGGGTCTCTAGGATACCTCTGGCAAACAACTTGGGAGACAGTATCTCCCACGTAGCACCATGACATATAGAAATCAATCTGTTAATGACTGGGACTCATCTTTCTTACTGGTCAGCTCTCTTAATATCAGAAAGTACAATGTAGGCTTCTGGGGACAAAAGTCATCAACACTCTTCCCCAGCTGTGGACCCTGTGATATGCAATAATGACTGGCCTGACAAGATATGTCCATGAGTACAGTTGTGGCACCAATCACTTTTTGGTGAAGTTAAAGCCTGCTCAGTGTGAGGAAACAGATGCCTGGTACTCTCAATTTGACCAAGAACCAATGGTTAGAGAGCTCATAGATCATAGGTGTAAATCTGCTACTATTATTCTGCTAAATGAACATAGTGTCAAACTGCCTTCTAAATGTGTACTCTATACCCTTTGATCAAGACAACTCTCAGTCCTCATCAGAGAAGCTTCTTTGTTTATCAGATAGCAATCATGTAGAAAACCCCAACTGTATGAAGTACAGAGAATAAGTGTCTTCAGATTGCTCAGTCATTAATAGGATGTCTATATCACAATGCTACCCCAAGACTTGGAAAATATTTTGGAAGTGGGAGTGGGGATGAGGATGTGGGGGAAAGAGGGTAAGTTCCAGAGATCCAGGAGGAAACAGTGCCTTCCAGGCAGGACATGAATTCACAGCAGCTGTGGCTTCCTGCACAAGCCCTGTAAAGGTCAAGCCAGTTGATTTTCCAGCATTTTGGAGAGGGAGGTTCAAAAGCCCCTACCCCTAGCTGAGGAGCTTTGGACAATTGATGGCTTCTAGGGGACAAATAATCTGTTTTCTTTAGGGGTATGGTTCCTGGTAGTTTGATCACACTTCAGTGATAGGTCTGATGTGCATTCATGTGAGCAGCACAATTTAGGCTCAGATTATGAAAGAGAAGAAAGGAAATTGGAAGGATGAGGATGAGTCTAGACGGACTTAAGGGGAGGAATGTGGGCTGAAGAGAATACAAAATTACAATGCAATCATGTATTATGCATGTATGAAATTCTCAAAAGTAATAATACATATAATATGATATAATATATGATCTGATATAATATAATATTTTTATATAATGAAATTAGTTTGCTATTTGTTAAGCACCAAGGTAACAAAATCCAGTTTTGACAAATTATGTACAATAATTAATTGTCATGATAATTCAATTCCTATATCTTAAAATAGGCACAAAATTGAGATGTTTACTATTTTTTTATATTTTAGAGTTATTTCATAAGGTCATAGGTAAAAGATTATGAAGCAACCAAATGTTATGTAGTTGGAGTGATGGACTGTGGTGAGAAGAAACTAGTTCAGAGAGAAGAAGGAAGAATGTAAGATTCCTAGCTGCTGAGGAAGAGCTTGCTCCTGTGTCCTTTAAAAGGGATGATGTCAAATCACTTTGTGATGTCAATTCCGTTGAATAAATTTAAAATGATGATATAAGAAATTTTGAAAACAATAATTCAATATGCTAGGCATGTATCCTTGGCAACTATGTAATATATGACACACCATTGTGTACCTAGTATTTACCTTGATACTTAGTTTTAAGTGTTTGAAAGGAGAGGATACACAGGAAGTCTACATTTTACTCTGTAACCATGCTGCAGTAAAGTTGATGCTGATATTTGCTGAATTTAATACATAGTCAACATTCTAAGTATTTCACACATGTTTTATCAAAGGTTTCTAATAAAAGTATCCATAGTGTTCTGCTTACTAGTATTATTCACAAATAACCCCAAACTTAATGGTCATAATAAGGCAATGAGTAATTTAAATCACAGCCTTGGCCATTTGAATCTGAGCAGGGTATGAGCATGCATGGCTGACTTGGAGATGTCTTGTACAGTAAGTAGATATGAGGACTAATAACTAATCACTCAGTTGATGATGTCTGGGAAGTCATTCAGTTAGCAGCTGATGATGTCTGGGAAGTCAGCCGAGGCTGCTGGTCAGAGCACCTGTGTGATACTTTCTGGGATGGCAATATCTGGTAGACACATTCCCCAAGATAGTGGAAGTCTCCCGGAGTGAACTGCCCTATACTGTTGGGTAGAAACCTCATGGCCATCCCAATCTAACCATAGATGTAATATACTATGTCTTGCTCCATATTTTACTAATGAAAGCAGTCAGAGCGCTATATCCATGAGTAGGAAAACAATTCTACTCTACATACAAAGAAATGTAAGAGAAGTGAAAAGCTTTGAGATTCACATATTAAAACTGTGATAAATAGATATGTTTATCTATCTTATAGATAAGGAAATGAAAGTATTGAGGAGTTAAATAATACGTGCATAGTTGTATGTATATATATAAATTCTGTGCATAAAAACACTTGTCTGTCTATATCTCAATTACTCTCTTGTATCTGTTTTCTACCTTCATGTCTTGTGTGTGTGTGTGTGTGTGTGTGTGTGTGTGTGTGTGTAGTTAGATATGTAGATAAATAGATTACACATATGGGAGAAAATATGATATTTGTCTTTCTTGGTCATTTTGTTTGAATGATCTCTAGTTCCATCTTTTTTTTCCTGTAGATAACAACATACTTTTAATATTTTTATAGATGAATAAAATTCTATTATGTAACTTTAACAAAAATGTATTCCATTTACTTCCTGATGGGTTTCTATGATGGTTTCACCTTGGCTATTGTGAATAGTTTAGAGTCAATATCTGACTTAAGTCCAAGAATGTCTAACTAGCAATGTTGTCTCCAAAGTCTGCGCAGCTGAGAGCCTACAATGCATACTATGTTGCAAGAAATCTTGAATGATCAAAGAGATAAAGTCAATGTAAGACACCAAAAAGATTGCAGTCTGTCGGTGCTGGAAGTCCTGGTGACTGGTGCTTCATTCAGGTGGGACTGATTCTGGTAGTTGATATCAGCTGATTCCTTGAGCTTTCATATATGTTTTGGTCTCCAGTGGATTGTTGTTCATTTCTAAGCCTAGACTCAACATGAATGGCATTTCCCTAAACATAATATGACTGTTGTCATCTAATTCTTGGCTTAGATCAACTAATAACTGTATATAGTTCTCAAAAATGTTGGCATGCTTCTGAAGAGCTACTGTTCCTTCTATCTCTTCATTCCTTTCCTCTCTTGCCTTCCCAGAGCCTATAAGACCTTGCTGTATTTGTATGATTTTAACCAGTGCTATTGTCATAAGCAGGAAAATTCACATATATTCCCAGGCTCACACAGCACACACTGGGATAGGGGATAAATAGGAGGGACTTTGGGTGATTAGGGGAGTCAGGGGTTCATTATACCAGATAACTCTGTCCTGGGAATCTTGAGTGAGCAGTGGTATCATGGATATCATGGCTCTTCTGAGACAGAACACAGGTCATATATCCTTGAGAAAGCTTGGGTCCTATCCATGTGTCTTAATCAAAAATGCATTAACTAAACTCTCCTTTCTTCAGAGCTAGTTTTCACATGCGCTAAACATACATAGGCATAGACACATACAAATACATATGTACACATAAACACATCCCTATTTCTTCCTCTGACTCCTTCACTTCAACTCTAGCTGCAAATCCAATTGTAAAATGATGTTCATGTCTTCCATGAATTATAAAAAGCTGAAGGGTCAATTGTTGGACTCAGCTGTGGTAGGCTTACTGTTCTTACAAAAGGAATCAAAAGACACCTGGTATATATTGTATGGTTTGGTGACATTCAGAGAGCATTCTGCTCCTAATGGAATGTGAAATTCACCCAATATTTCATTTTACAGCTTAGCCAAAAGGTTAGGTGATTTGTCTCATGCATTGAGACTCTGATTGGAAGAAATTCACATTAAAACTTTCAAAACTCCAAAAAGAGCTGATGGGTCTCAAGAGGGCTTTTATATTAAAAAAAAAAAAAAGTAACTCTACTATGGCAATGGAATATAATTTACCCAAATCTTATTGTCTAAGGTAAATTTACCATTGTTGAATGAAGCCATGTTACTAACTTTAAGGCAGATATACTTTATAAACTTCAGAATTACAAAGTTTTGGAGACTTGCTCTTGAATTTCCATATTTCCAAGAAGTGACAGGTAGTGGCCGCCTTTCCTCTCCACCAGGAAACTTTAGAGGTAGATAGCCTTTCATCCCAAGTGCAGCAGGCTCAGTTACAGGTCCCTGACAGGATAAGGTTAAGGTGGGGGGCGGGAAGGCAGGGCAGCAGAGGGAGACAGAAGCAGAAATCAATTCAAATTACTTTAATGACAGTCTCTTAGCCTCTTCCCAGACAGGCAGACAGGAACTTCCAGGATGCTAGCAGCCCGCACAGGCGCTGCAGGGAGTCAGATCTCCGAAGACAGCAGCAAGTTCAGAAAGCAGTCTGGCCTTTCTTCAGGGGGGAAAGACAGATCTCCCAAGAAAGCCCCCGAGAATGTCAAAGACAGCAGCCTCAGCCCCTCTGGGCAAAGCCAGCTCAGGGCAAGGCAGTTGGCCCTGCTGCGGGAAGTGGAGATGAACTGGTACCTAAAGCTCTGCGAACTGTCGAGCGAGCACACCACCGCACACACCACCGGGATGCCGCACAGGTGAGTGCTTAAAGATGGGGACATCATCCCCCAGCAGCGGGATCTGGAGAGCAGGTGCCTTGTCGTTCCTTTTCGGTTCCTTCTCCCGCTGTGAAATCGTAGTAGCAGCTCTCACAGCGGGACGGGATGCTTTGCGATTCAGAACTTGTACAACAAAAGGCAGGAACTTGGTGCAATAATAAGCAAAGCTCTCGGGATTGAGACTCAGAAAACATCTTTTGGGAAGCCAGTAATGAGCTTACTGGGGGAGAGTCGAAATTTTTCTCTAGGAAAAAAAAATCTGAAGAATTCGGAGATTGTATTTTTTAAAAGTCTCTTTTCCAAAGAATGAAACACTATTGCAGTCTACCTGCATTTCCTTTACCTTGGGAAATAGGGCATGGGGAGAGGGCTTTCTGAGCTGTTTTGAAAGTTGAATAGTGTTAACTTGCTGGATGAAGGTTCAGTCAGATGGTTGAAGAGGGATGCAGAGCAGGATGTATTGACAATCATATACCTCAAGAGTTGAGACATGTAACACAAGGAGAAAGGGGTACTTTTTTTTTTTTACAAAATGTAAATACAAACCAATTTTCTGAAGATTGTCTTTCTCTTCTTTCCTCAGCCTGGGCTTTGCATATCAGTAAGGAAGGATAGTTTCATTAAACTCACTGCAGCAAGGCAACCTGCACTGAATACAATGTCTGAAGTCCTGAAACCCAAATGTACTTATTTCCTATAAGTTGTATTAAGAAATCTCCTTGGAAATAGAGATAATTTCGCAAGAAAAGCAATGGTGAAGTAAGCCCAGAAGTTTTTATTAAATGATAATAAAATTTCAATAGAAAAAAAATTTAATGAAATAGCCAAAATATGTCTTATGCTAAGACTACAGCATACTATGTCAAAATATCTAGTATGCTTTTAGCAACTTCCATGTGTGTTTGTTGTGTGGTGTTTGTATGTGTGTGTGTATGTGTGTGCATGTGAGTATGTGAGCATGTGTGCATGTGACTCTTCACGGATGATATGTTTTGCATGTTTGTGATAAGTACTGTTTATATGTGATATGTGCATATGTGATTATCTTTTTGTATGTTGTGTGAATATGTGTGGTATGTGTTTGTGGTGTGAGTGTGTTTGGTTGTGTACTCCATGCACATGAGTATACAAGTATGCAGGGAGGCCAGAGCATGACATCAGCTTTCCTTCTCCATCACTCTTTTCCTTCCTACCTTGTGACAGAATCTATCACTGTACCAGAAGTTTGTCATTTTTACTAGGCTGGCTGACCAGGAGCTGCCTGTCTTTGCCCCCAAACTGCTGGGGTTACAGCACATATAGCCCGCCTGATGCTTTACATGGGTGCTTGAACTCAGGACTGAACACTTTCAGAGCAAATGCTCTTATCCACTGAGCCCTTTTCCCCAGCTTCCATTGTTCTATCTCTAATTCAAAGGGAAACCTCTAAAGCAGTTGAATTATATAGTGGTGCATATACTCTAGAAACTTTGGACAACACAATTCAAAATGCCTCGACATATTTACATTTCCCTTTTTCCATGGCAGTAATAAAATAGATGTTTCCAGATGTAAGTCACTATTGAAAAAAATCAGCACATAAAATGCAGGATGAAGTAAATCTTCTAGAAATGCCTAGGAATTAGATGTAGTGTTCCCAGCCAGGATGACCTGTCTGAGCTCTTGAATAGACTCTGATACTTGCAATTGTGTGGGGAGGGGTGGGGAGGGGGTTAGGTCAGTGACAGGGAGCTTGGGGAAGGGACAGTCTCATTTAAGGAAAGCTTGAGGGAGCATGTGCTCACTAGAAATTCATCTCCTTACATAACCAGTATCCCAAATCATTGTATATCTCTCATGTCTAAAAAGCTATTATTACAGGGCCTCTGGGGGAAGTTAAGTGATAAGGTAAACCCTTGATAATGATTTCTTTCCCTGACATATTCCTTGACTTATGCTAAAGCTGCTACTTTCCATAAGGAGTATGATACAAGACCACAAATTCCCTGCTGTTATCTGACACTGAAGTAACATTTACCAAGTCAGAGTGAAATATCGGTTAAGCTAATGAGGTTTAGTGAGAAATTTGGAGAGAGAAAAAAAAACTGCTCTTTGCTGTTCTGCTTAAACAATAACTATCCCTGTTGTCAGGAAAGACTGGGTAAGACATAGTTTGAGATTATTGCACTCTTCAGGGCAATACCATTTAACTGTTGATTGATACCTGCTTAGTGAGTGTGTTGAAATTGTCAAGGTCTTTTCTATTGAACACCATCAGAACAGAATATGCCCATCTATCCTTTATTTTGCAATATGATTGCTACCAGGTTGGGGGGTGGGCATTAGAGCATGCAGTTGGCACTTGGCACTTAGTTCAATTCTAACTTAGATGAATTTGCTGAAGATCTCAGACTTTGTGTAGGTCAGAAGACCAAGACTGTTCCCTGCTTTTGTAACTGCCAGTATGGGAAGCACCCAGTTCTGATGAGTCTCCTAAACAATGACTAATTAGGTAATATTTCACACTTTAATGCTCATGTTGGGATCCAAATCCCTGAGCTACCCTGGTGTTCAGATTAGCTGTCAGGAAGTTATGAAAAGTTCTTATGGATTTGCAATGTGTTTTCCTCAAATAGTTTGACTCTCCTGATAGTTCTCCTTTAGACTTATATGTAATTTATAAATGTGCCTAACGTTTAAAGAAAATACCTGAAACATTATGCCTCTGTGAAATATTGTTTACATAGCAGAACATGCAATGTGTTGAGGAGAATATAAAGATGCCACATATTGCAGTTGAGAAGAATTCGATGGGCATCAGTAAGGACTTAGTGTACTCTGACTCTGATTCCCTTCCTGGAAAAATGGAAATAAAATATTGTATAGAGAGTTCATTCCAGCTCATGCTGGATTGTTTTATACCTGGATCTCACAACAACCTGCATTTTGAAGGAACTGATCAGGGGAAAGCGTTAGAAGAGGAAGCAGGGCTCAAGATTCCTGGTGCATTTATTTAATAAACAAATATAGGAAGAAGGACAGGGAATGCAGATGTAAAAATAGCCCTGTTCCCTTTCCTGGGCTGTGTGCACATGGGATTACACAATAAAACAACCTAATAAAATTTGCTTCATATTGACTGATTGTGCATTTCAGAGCTGCCTGATGATGGTGATATTGGATATATTTATCATCTGTGGCAGCTTGTTACTTTCCTGCCAAATGAGAATAGAGCAGGGGCCAGAGCTCTGCAGTTAGAGGCAAAATTTGACTTTTCCTCTTTTCCCCCTCATATGCTACTTGTTTTGTTTGTTTGATTGCTTGTTTACTTGGTTTTTGTCAGGTTGACAAAAACTTGGGTTATCTGAGAAGAGGGAAAATCAGCTGAAGAATTGTCCCCAGCAGACTGGCCAGTGGGCAAGACAGTGGGGCATTTTCTTCATTGATGAGTGATGTGGCCAGGGCCAGCTCACTGTGGGAGGTGCCACCATGGGCAGTGCCACACCTGGGCAGGTGTTCCTGGGGTGTATAAGAAAGCTGACTAAGCAGACCATGAGGAAGAAGGCAGTAAGCTACATTTGTCTAAACCATTGCTTTAGTTCCTGCCTCCGAAGTATCTGCTTTCAGCTCCTGGTCTGGCTTCCCACCATGCTAGTTTATGATGTGAAAGTACAAGCCAAATAAATCCTTTTCTCTGCAAGTCGATTTTGGTCAACTGTTTTACCATAGCAACAGAGAAGCCAAGTAGAACACCATGTAATTGTGGACATGACTTTTTAAATTTTATTTATTGTTTTAAAATAGATTTTCCGAACACAGAAGTAATCTTTGGACTTTGCCAAATGTTTTAAAAATAGATAAATGTAAGCAAGAGAGCTAAGAGATAGTGGATACTGTGTTGACAGGCAAGCATGAGAACCTGAGTTAGAATCCCGAGCACTAACATAAAAATATGAAGCTCCAGAAGCACATCTTCACCTCTGGATTGGTGGAAACAGGAGAACTTGACCTGGCTGGACAGCCCAGTCTAGCCAAACTGTAAGTTCCAGATCCAGTGACAGACTGTTTCAAAGAGGAAATATGGGGCACAGAGATCACCCAGTGACTAAAGATGCTTACTTTGTAAGCATGGGGACTTGAATTTGATATCAGCACCAATGTAAAAGTCTGCATGGCTGTGCATGCATGCATGTTGCCCCAGTTTTAGTGCAGGATAGAGACAAAGGGGAACAAAGGCAAATGCTGAGAGCTCCCTGGCCAGCTCAATGGGAGATGCTGCCTTAGAGCAACAAGATAAAGACTAATTCAGAAACGGCACACAACGTCTTGCTCTTTTGTGGTCAAAGAAATGGAAACTCAAAAAGTTAATCACACATACCTAACAATTTTTTGAAATACAAAACTCAGTGATTTTATGGACTGGAGAGATGGCTCAGTGGGTAAAGGCGTTTGCTGTCAAGACTGATGACCTGGAACCCACATGGAGGACGAAGGGCTGGCTCTTGTGTGTTGTCCTTTACCGACCACACATACAACATGATATACCCTATAGATAGATAGATAGATAGATAGATAGATAGATAGATAGATAGTAGAAAGGGGAAATATTGGGAGCAGAAGGGTTCAAGCAGATAGTAGAGTGATGAAGATGTAAGAGAGGACTGAGGAAGAGTTAACTAATATAAAGAGTGTATGAACAAGCTACATGCGAACCTATGATCTTACAACCCAAGTAAAAATATAATAAGGAGGATAGTAGGACATATGCTGTGAAAGAACAGGACAGACATATGGAAAGCTAAAGGTTTGAGTAGGAATGGGTGGATGGGGCAGAGGACTGGGAGAAAGGGGAAGAGGGACAGAGGGTGGGTTAACCAAAACAGAATTTATGAAGAAGTCATATAAAGCCCTACTTGTTTGTAAGCTAATTAAAGATACAATTATTTAAAATAAGTCTGAACAGTGATGCCTTATATTAGTGAACTTTTCCCAGAGACATT